TAATAATAATAATAATAATAATAATAGTAATAATAATAATAATAATAATAATAGAGAATTATATAATAATAATAATAATTATAATAATAGCAATAATAATCATATCCATAAAGAATTATATAATAATAATATACCTTATGATTCTGATTATATTAGACCAAATAATATATACAAAAATAGATTACATGGTAATGGTGGTAATGATTATAGAAACACAAGAAGACATGATGAAATAAGATATCACGAAATAATAAGACATGATGATGGATTACAACAGAGTTACAAAAGACCGTCACTGTCACATTCAAGATCTAAAAGTGACAACAAATATTCTACATACTATTATCCTAGGTCAAGATCCCCCAGCTATCATAGATCTATAGATTACATAAGAAAACAAAGTCTTTCTCCATCATCAATATTAAAACATGGATTTGACGACTACTCAAAAAATCATAAATCATTAACAACAACGCCATCAACAAAAATGTCAACTACGTCGTTAAAAAAAAAAGATTTAGAACTTGATATTATAAAAAAATCAGCAAAAAAACGATCTGAAAATTATAATCAAATCTTGTTGGAACCTTCCATTAGAATTGAGGAACCTCCGCCGATGCTTATAGTATTAGATCTGAATGGTACATTGGTTTATCGTGATGGCGAACACAGACTGATTCATCTACGTCCTCACATTTCGGCTTTTAAAAATTTTCTATTTCGAAACAAAAATTTTAATATTATGATTTGGTCATCAGCACAGAGAATTAATGTGAATAAAATGGTGAAAGAAATTTTTGGAAATGATGATAGTAACAAATTGCTTGAAATTTGGTCCAGAGATAAATTTCCCTTAACAAACAAAGAGTATCATTCCAAATGTTTAACAATAAAAGATTTAGAAATGGTTTGGGATGAGTTAAACAAATCTCTGAAAAATAAAAACATACAACCATCATCTTCATCGCCGTCACCACAGTCATCATCAATATTATGGGATCAGACTAATACAATATTAATAGATGATTCACCACTTAAAGCTCAATTACAGCCTTATAATGCGATACATTTAAAAGAATTTAATCGAGAATTATTCCATAATGGAAATGATAGTGAATTATTAAATGTTATTGAATATTTAGAATTGTTAAAATGTCAAAGTAACATCAGTCATTTTATAAAACATCGTCCTTACAACAGCAATCGAAATTATGCGAACCATCAGAACGAAATAAATATTGAATCAGTAAGTGATGATACAAGAGCTATGGCTGACAACTACGAAGAAGAGGATAACGAAGAAATAATTGAGTTAGATTTAGACGAAGAAGATTTATAGCTATCTATTATTTATTTATCAAAAAATATATTTTACCCTCGTTAGATTCCTGGAGTTCTAAACTTTAATTTGACAGAACTGAGTTTTTGCAGTTAAAAGTATTTTTGTATAACAAATATTTTTGGATCATCTGTTAACATGGAGGTGCATTCCTTTTAATTGGCTAATTTTAATTTACAAAATTGCTTAATTAAAAAAAATTTTATCACTCATTATATTAAATCTAAATTATAGTTGTTTGCCGAAATTGTTTGGAAAAAATAATTACGGAAATCATTTTGACTTTTCATATGAATGAACATAAAATAACTATGCTATTTGATTAAGAATTCAAATAATTTCGGACGTAATTTGGACAATTATTAGGATTAATCTCGGCTACTACGAAAAACTATTTCGGCATTTCGGATTCGACAATGATTTATTGATGGTTCTTTTTATTCTTTGTATTCTTTGGAGTGAAACCAGTTGACCGAATGAATGCAAGTTTTTTATGTGTTGGCTTTGACTTTTTCTTATTGCCAAAGATTTTCTTGTATGGATGGTGTTCTTCAATAGACAACAATTCTACTTTGTGCATAATATTATCCTAACCATTACAAAAGATTAAAATAAGCAATTCAGCTGCCAATCACCTCAAGGGAATATTCAATAATGACAAAATGCTCATTTACCTTAAAAAAATAAATAACCTCCAATGCATGCTGTAATGATTTCAATTGTAATAATTG